AGGAACACGAATCGTTTACCGTTACAAGGACCGCTCACAATACCATTGAGCTCTTTCTCTATGAGAAAAGTGTTTCGTCAACCTACTAAATTCTCCTTTACTAGAAAGTTATTACGTTGCTTAATATTGTATTGTGAGCCGGTCCTTGTCACGGTATGCGATTCGTGTTCCTCTGTTGACGTCAAATGCGGTCCGATATGTCTTACGTTGGATTTAAATCCGTGTAACAAAAGGAAATAAAAATCACACTCTATTTGAACATACGAGACACATTCGTTTCAGGAGACAAAGTGCAGAAACAGCACCCCGCTCTGCTTCCAAATCAATCTCTGCCTTTTCCACACGGCAAGTTTTAGCAGCCAATCATTTGCTGTTTATGATCTTTTAAGGTGCACTGATAAACTCTGTTTTCTTCGCATTAGATTTCTATGGCCTGAATTGACAGAGGAAACGAAAACTCAGAATACCGATTGGGTATTGTAAATATCCATAGGTTTCAACCATACGTGTTTGAAACTAATTGGTTCTCTCCTGCCCTCAGGGAGATCATGATATCTTGCGTTATAGAAAATGAAAGTTACTTGATATTTCAGCCATGTTACGAACTGACTTTTATAGCGTTATATCGATTTGACAATTCTGGGCAGTCGCAGGTTTCAAGGCCGTGACTTGTAGTTGTTAATTCTAAACTAGTCAATGTTGGGGTTATGATAAGTCACGGCTACAATTCAAAGAAGCTACGATTACTAACTTAGCGAGGCTTTTCCAGTTACAATCATTATTATGCAGTAAGTAGAGTTAAGACTACTTTATTTTTAGTCGCAAATGTTTCGCATGGAATATTACAACGGTGTGTTTTCCACATCTCTCTACTTAGAGAATTGCTTTGCTTTGATTTTTGTTTCATTCCTTTGTTTTTGTTTTTTTTTTTTGATGTTTTGTTTGTTTGTTTTCCAAAGCTATTTCGATAAACAATGCATAATCTTGGAAAAAGAAAGATATGTGTGCAAGTTTATTCCTTCATTTGTTTGTTTGAACCTTTAATTAGCCATTTATAATGTATGCTGCTAACTCAATGACTCCGCTAATTTTCTTTTTTTTTTTTTTTAAGAAAGCGTTAACCTCGAAATGAGAGATGGGGAATATTTTTAATCTACTGAAATCTCCAGCTTCTAATGGTGACAACGTGGAAGAAGGGTTGGACAACCATGGAGGTATTAGATCATAAGAATTTTACTTCCCACTTTTCGACACTTTCCACCTACGAACTCTCGCTTCATTTCTGACTTTTTACATTCCACTTAATACTTCTCACATTTTCTCTCACCCGAGAACATGCAAAGGAAAGGAACTCTTTGAATATAGGCATGATTAAAGAATTGCAGTTTCGTGGTCTTCTGCTGGAGGAATAACGCAATATAACTCTTTTAAAAGGGCACATTTGGGATTGTGGGATTCAAGTAACAAACCTTGGAAAATTTTGAATATTTTGACACATACCGCAGTTCCGCCAGCTTCATGCAAATCTGTGTAACAAAATGATTGCGCCCTTCAGCCGATATGTTGGCAACGCCAGTGACGAATTTGTTGTGGATAACATATTGATATCGTAATGAGAAGCTGCACGAAATTAATTAATAGGGGCTAAGTAGCCAAGGATAACTTTGCTCAGTCTGATTATTGTCTTTCTTTCTTATTCTCAAAACACTAAAAAGTTGAGAATGATGCTCCACCAACTATATCAGAATCCAACGAATTGCAGACTGAAGGTAAAGTTTTTTGATGAAGATACCAATGAATTGGCAACCTCGTGACAAATTTGTTCTTTGAAGAAGAGTTAAGCCTTAGGGCTGGATCGTTAGAAGCATGTTTTTTTATATATTTTACTAGCTATGCAGATAGTTTTGATTGTATTTATTTTTCCTTAAGTTTTCACCCTCACTGTGAGGTGGACCCCTCAAAACTTGTTTATCTCTTAGTATCTTTTGATCAACCGGGTCCGGTAGCTGTAAAATTCATGTCCACCGCAAAAGAGTGTACTTTAGGAAAAAAATCCACGTCTGTTTCAGGTTGAGACTTTATGCATCACGGGTGAATCATAATTATTTCTGGTCATGCCCATTATTTTCACCTAACATTTCAAAAGCAAACTATTGGAAATCTAAATTGGCCATTTCATTCTTATTTTAATGACACGAAGCACAGATAATCTTCAAATTGATTTGTAAATGTGCTCTCTATTTTTAGGTCAGAAAATCGATTCTCTCGAAGACTTTTAAGGGAGGGGAAAAATGTGATTGGGAAGATATAAAGAAAGTACTTCAGCTTTCGCTATCGCAAAAATTAGAGGAATGAGACTATGTATCACAAGCGAGCTACTAGATTGCTATGGTGAATTTTTTCATTCGCAGAAAGGCAGAAGAACTCAACTTCAGTTAAAGAAGAAACGCGAGAAGGTAAGTCTCCAATGATAACAACGCCATTCGACTTCATAATCCTATGTGTCTTCCTTACCTCTATCCAGATCAAACTACCTTTTGACCAAAACCTAAATTTTAATGATG